TTTAGCTGGTATCACGTCTATACTTTTAAGCCTCCTGCCATTGTTTACATCTGTTCAAAATCACGCATTTAAAAAACAAAAAAACTAACTTTGAAACTGTTTGAGTGTTGTACGGAGAGACCGCTCGCGTGTGTGTGTGTGTGACACTCGTGCTCTTTCTTTCCTTATGTGTATGTGCCATAGACTGTATGAAAAACGGTATGTGCACACATCCTCGTACCTCACCGCTCCAAACCATAGCTCCCAACTTAATCCGGGAAAGGTGAATATTCCTGCGACTGCACTTAATTTAATTAAGAAGAATTCAATTATTTTTTTTTATTTTTTTTTAGCCTGACATGTTTACTGTTCCAAAATGTTCTATATGTTTCTTAAAAATAAAATGTGTTCAGTGGAAAAAAAAGTTGTTTTTTTACCCAGACATTTAAAAATAACATATTTTAGAGCTGTAATCGCAATACCGTGATTTTTTTTTTTATCTAAGGTTATCATACCGTCAGAATCTCATACCTATTTTAATATCTAATTATTTTCACCCATAAAACATGGTGTATAGAACTACTTTATAAAGTCAAAGTATATTTCAGTTTTGACACAATGCTTAGCATATGTGAACAGCCAAAGGCATAGCCTTTTAAAGTATACTCCACTCAATAGAGTGCGTGAACACAGGCAGTCAATACCTACACTACAAAGTTTCATCTCTGTCCAATGTCTGCACTATTTCTCTCCAGAAGTTATGACCAATACAAATGTATTTTTACCCATTTAAATGAGAGTGTAATGAATTTTAACCCCCTCACACAAGCACTCATCAGCGGGGATGTTCATTGTTACCTTCCCGAGTAGTTTGCTGTTGTTTCTTTTTGTGAAACTGTGAAACAACAGGCCGGGCCAGTGTTGCTACCCTGTGGACAAATGCTTGTGTGAGCTAAACGTACAGAGTATGCATGGTTTGAAAAAAAAAAAACGGGCAGCATGTTTGCAGTACACACACGCTGATGATGAAATTTACAGCATGTGCACTGTATGCATACCCTAGCATACACGTAAATAATGAATTACACTTTGGGGTTTGTGCTACTAATACAGAATCTTGTTTAGAAACAGACCAGGATGCCATTACAATTTCACAATAGTCAACCAAGTCTCAGTTACTAACTGCTAGTAATGATGTCTTTTTTGAGCCATTTTTCTTGATTGTTATCCCTGAATGTATTTGTCATTTTTATCTGATTTGCTTATCCTGATTTAATTGGCCAATGTTCTTTTGTAATGGTGAAACAATTTACTGAAATAATTGTGTTGAAGAGATGTAAGGTGACTTCAAGACTTCTGGACTTATTATCCAGTTACAGAAACTGAAACACCTTCATTTGTCGGCCAAGAAGAATCAAGAATTCAACAGCACTGCCATATAATATGAATTAACCAACACAGTCCTTTTGGCTTTTATAAGGTGAATATTTAAAAAATCTAATCAGCAACTCAAAATTGTCTTCAGCCCAACTGTCAGTTAGTAGACTCAGTTTGTTAGTAACTTTAATACAGAATTCAGCAATGCAATCAGAATGTACGTATAATTTCCTTAAACAATTCCCACTTCTAAAAGCACACCAGAAATCTTTGCATTAAAATTTTTTTACATTTTTTTTTTTTTCTGTAGATGTATTATTAAATTAGCTAAAATGCCTAATAGTGGCATAGGATCTTTTAAAAGGCATATGGAAGTTTTCAGCAAAGTTTTTGAAAATCACAGATTTTAAACAGGTCTAAGAATAGTAAATATAACCCCCAAACTTCAGTACATCCCATTGGATTAATGTATATTTGTCAACACTCGATTTAAAACTACTCTTTCATCGTCCCTTGTATACCTCACTCCAAGAGGGATTCCCTGTGGCATGTGATCCGTCTGCCGGCTCTGTCGCTCGATAATGTGGAGAAAGAGCGGCAGAGAGAGATTGCAACACATCCCTGAATGCTGGTACACTCACTTGTACAAATGAGCTTAATGCTGTCGTGCGTGATGCATGACCTGGCCATGCTGATAAAAGGATGGAAAAGGAAGAGAGGGAAGTGTTGGGAGGGGGGTGACACTAATGCCCTGATGGCCTGATGTAATGGCAATGGTTATTGAGCGGATGATGGCGTTGTTGTAAGCAAGTGCGGCTGCGGTCGAGGGAAATAGACTAACAGGTGCTGATGCTATACGCTCGCAGCTCCGAGGAGAGATCTATTCATCTTCGGCCTGCCACGGTACAAGGACGACAGCAACCGCTGGGACTCCCAGATTCGTAGGAAGGAACAAGATGCTTACTTTTATTTGTTTGCTGAATGCAAATACAAACACATATACACTGGGGCATAACTCCAGATATACATTTTGTTTTCCTACCTTACTGTTGAGCAAAATGGACTGTATGAAGTAGAATATTTTCAGATTACCGCTTTTCATCATAGTGCACACATCAATGACTGCCCTGATTTGCAGTTCTCTTAAATTAATCTGTATTGTCTTCTTATCTGGCTAGTTTTTCTAGGCCGTGGCCTGCACCATTAAAATGCAGCCACGCATGAGAAGTGCCTGTTTTCACGCCAATTTCACAAAGCTCCGGGATCCGCAACAGCGTTTAGTGTTATCAAACACACACTAATAAATCATGCTCTCTTTTCTCATGTCAGTTGCTAAAGAGCAATGAAAAAAAAAGTGAGAAAAGCTGACAAGAGGCATAAAAAGATGGAGAGCAAGAGGGAGAGCGAGTATGAGCGAGTAACAATAGTAATGTGCGCGGGGGGAGTCAATTGGCATGTGTAATTCAGCGCAGCCTTTTCATCTCTGTGTAAGATACTCCAGACAGATAAGGTGTCTAATCCTCTGCCTGATCAAAAAAAATCTACATTCCTCCTCCAAAAAATCTTATTGAGGTTGTGCAATATGGGGAGGGGCCTTATATTGCTTTGAAATATGGAGATCCAACCCCCCACCCCCACACACACCACCCTTTGTTGGATGAGATTCACTGTGGTCCACACACTACACTCATCCTATTACTGAGAAAAGAGTGATAAGAAGCCCATCCCTCACTCTGAATCAGAGGAGAGGGACTCTGTAGGCAAATATTTTTATTAGCATGTGTCTTCTGATTTAAAAACAGCATAGAAAATGGCAAAATAAAACACAATAACTGAAAAATCTAAGGAATTGGAAAACAAAGAAACAAAGCGATGATAATCTGATTTGAGGAATACTGGATATTGATATCAAAAATGCATTTCATTATTATATTTATTATATTATTTATGGATATAATAATATAAATGTCTGTGTAGTTAGTCAGCTTAAATACTAAATTAAAGATTTTGCCTAAAACCTAAAAATATTTGTTACATATAGCAATATGTACCTCTTTCCCTATATCCCTCTTTCAAAGGCACAGGCAAGAAATTGTCAAGATCTTTAAGCTTTGAGGACAAGACTTCAAATGTGGGAGGCAGGCCATTCCAACTGGAGGCTTTCAATTATAGATAGGGGTTAGCGCAGCTGCCATGGATTGCCATGTCAGAGTAGGGATAGACAGCCGTGGAGAACTGGGAATCTTTCTATCAGATGCCTTTGGGGTTGGTGTGTGTTTCTTTGAATGTGTGTGTTTGTGTGGATAATAGGAGAAAAGAGTGGTTAAAGAATGGCTGTGTGTGTTGTCCAGAGAGAAATGGTTAAAGGGGACAGTGGTGTATCTTCACAGAAAGTGGGCTTTAATGTCCTTTTACCCTCTGGTTAAGCTTGGGAGTGGCTGTGACAAATGGGATGTCTGAAGCCAAATGTAGGATTTTAAGGTGTTTGTGTGTGTATGTGTGTCTTTTCCACCTATTTGAGAGCCTTATCATGAATGATTCTATTAAGAGACTGAACATTTCAATTGATGAAACATAAACGTGGTGTCCACTCACATGCACAAGCTGCTCTTGGGTGTCAAACTCCCTGCAGCAACTTTCCCAGTGGCAGTTGGTCTCATACACCACCTCTGGCTCCGGCTTGCCCTCCTCTTTATCACCCTCCTCTTTCACCAGCGTCATTCCATCCATTTGCTCCTGCACAAACACATGCAGCCAAATAGTGAGGGCATATGGGTCAGTCATTATTTATTTATTCAAAAATACACATTTAATTCATGCATAACTTCAATATACTTCTTCTATAATGAGCATGGTTTTAATTTCTGATCGATTGCATTTCTAAATCCATTCCCTAATTTGAATGCATTTCTACATTCAGTCGCTTTGTCACCGTTTATTGCTGATAGTGCAAAGGGTCATTTTTAAAACTTATATTAATGTGTGTTACAGCAGCATGAAGGAAATTATTTCATTCTAGGATAAATTTTTATGTGTGGCCTGGTAAATGTGAATTATTCAAAAGTGCAGATGATGATAAATGATGTTATTCTGAGTATGTGACAGCCAGATGAGTCCTCATACCTTATTTGTATCATTAACACAATGCTAAACTTCTGCATCTGACATTTGGAATATCTCTTGAGAAAACATTTAGCTGTATGTCTTTACAGGGATGTTATTCTTTTTATGAAAGAAAAAAAAAAACATCCTATAATGCCCTGGAAAGAGCACTTTGCTTGGTAAGTGCCACAAAGTATGCAGAATTGGCAGTTGTTTAGAAGTTCTAGAAGTGTTAACAGCTTTGGAAATAGAAATTAGGATTTGTGAATTCAGAGGTCTATTTGGAGAGAAGTTCTTGTGTGCTGCTACATCTACCTGTCTATCTGTAGAGTACAAGAATCGTTGAATAGTATCACTAAAAACACTGATCACATTTTATTTTAAGGTTCAATTCTCGTCATAACAAACCATTAACTTTTGCCTCAAGAAACTCCTAATTTGCTGCTTATTAATAGTTTGTAAGGTAGTTGTTAAGTTTAGGTATTGGGTAGGATTAGGGATATAGAATATGGTCATGCAGAATTAATGCTTTATAAGTATTAATAAACAGCCAATATGTTAATAATAGGCATGCTAATAAACGACTAGTTAATAGTGAGAATTGGTCCCTGTACTAAAGTGTTACCAATATACCAGTCTAAATTTATAGAAGATATACAAGGGGTTTGGGCTGTTTGAAGACTCAAACCCCCTTTAAATCACTGCTGCACTGTTCTAAATGTATTTCACTGTCTGTTAAAAGAGAGAGAGAGAGAGAGAGAGAGAGAGAGAGAATGATGATGTGAATGATGACTTCTAAAATAAAATAAAAAGTTATGGAAAATTGAAGACTCAAACCCCCTTTAAATCACTGCTGCACTGTTCTAAATGTATTTCACTGTCTGTTAAAAGAGAGAGAGAGAGAGAGAGAGAGAGAGAGAGAGAGAATGATGATGTGAATGATGACTTCTAAAATAAAATAAAAAGTTATGGAAAATGCTTGTAGAAAAATAAATAAGAAAAACAATAAATGCACGGAGTAAAAAAAAAAAGACAAAGGTCCGTTTAAGCCATCCAGCATCAAACCATCAGCTTATAAGGGGCATTGTAGAAAATGTGTCATTTAATTTTTCTTTCATTTTTCCATTCAGTTAAGCATCTGATTAAAAGAAAAACAATTTCCTTCTGAAGCTGTGGAGATCAATGGGGCTTATCGCATCTGAAGCAGTGCCACAACAGGCGACCAAATCAAACACGCAAATAAATAGCTTTACAGTACGTCACATAATTGGTCCCAAAGCTCTTGCTGCATGTGAATGTGTGGTAACTGTCTCCTTAAGGTTGTGTGAGTGCTTTTTAGCCCTATACATATATGTCTATCAAGTATGTGTGTGTTTTTTAATATATATACACATGCATACCTGCACGCTAATGGCTCCGGGGTTGGGCGGCTCCTCATCTGGTTTGAGTTTGGAGCGTTTGTGCTGCATGGGGTCCCCTGTGCTACTTACAGCCGACTCACTGGTGGGTTTACTCTAGAAGCAAATATTTTAAAAACACGTATAAAATATGACCACATAATAATAATCATCATCAAAAATACAGGTACTTATTACTTTGGAAATTGTAAGTGTTTATATGTAATTTCATAATTACTTCTACTTTTCACTTCTATTTTTGAAATATGGTTTAAGTGTACTAATGTACTGACAAGCTGACAATGTCTACTTTTTAAAAGTGTACATGATATGCACTTTATTAAGGGTGTTAAGAGACATAGATATGATCATCAAAGTGGCCTTTTACACTTAAGAGGTCTTTTATTTCATTAATATTATATTATCTGTAGTATACTATCTGTAAGTATACTAAAATATATTTCTGAGATTTGACTAAAAGTGAATAAAAAGTGCACATTCAGTACAATTAAGCACAATTCTTTTTCACAAGGAACTAGTATGGTACATGTCTAAAAACCACTATATTACTGTATTGGTATGTCCAAAACGTGGTATTTAAAATAGTAAGTATAATTTAATTGTGATATTACCACTGTACTTTAGAGTATAACACGGAACTGTAATGGTACATGCATGATATTAACATGGTACCATTCCTAAAAAATTATCCTTCTTTTGGTAGTGTAATAATATGCGCATATTACAAATCTACTTCAGAGAAAAAAGAAAAAAAAACATTATTCATTGACAATATTCGCTGACATTATTCAAAAATGCCACAGACATTATTCACAATTTCTCCCTAAACAGCAATAACCTCTCCTCTGACTCTATCCACTCATTCACTGTCTCTCTCTCTCTCTCTCTCACTCTCTTTCTGCCAAGGGAAGTCCCTTGCGACTGGCCAAAGCCAGTAAAGAAAAAAAGCACTCAGTGGGAGAGAAAAACATTCCTTGGATGAGAGAGAGCAGGATTCCTTGGCTCTAAAGGAAGGTTCATTCTGCCAGACTCCTCTAGCAAATCATTTAACTTTGCTGAGCTTTATTTTATTTATTTTTGCTTTTAAAGAACACAAAATACACAAATGGTTGGTGACCATTTGTGCATGAAAATACTCATTGCCAGTTTTGTGACTCTTTAATTAGCGTGTGTACTAATGTGTACTTATGTGTACTAAATTTGATAGACATTACCCAAACCAAAGCAAGAAAAGTAACTGTTTGCATTGAGTTTTGAGTATAGTTGAGTATAGTAGAGCAAATTAATTTATTCAATATTCGCAGAGGACAATAAACCCTGCAAAATCATACAGGTTTTTAATCACATGAGGGTGAGGAAATGTTGACAACATGTTCATTTTTGGTTGAACTATCCCCCTTAAGCATAAGTATGCATGCTAATAAATTTAAAGACAATCTTAGAAATATATTGTACACCACATTTAGTGTATATAACTTTAGATCGTAAAGTGCGTAGTGATCCAGTAATACACAAAGATCTGATATTTCTCTGTCTGTCATTTTGAGAATGCTCACACCTTCTCTCCTTTTTTATTAATTGTTCCTTTTTGACCACATGGTGAGACAAATGTTCCATGATGCCCTTCTATTAAAGAAGCTGGTGCTGTCTCTGGGGTTAGAGGGGGGAAATAGATGACACTGATCTAGGAAAGAGTAGTGAGGCTGTAATGGCTTGAAAGGAAATACTGGCATTGAGAAAAATCTCGGGAAAACTCATTCACCATTACACTAAGAGTTAACTGTTACTGAAGCACAAAAAAACAGGAATCGATACGAAGACAGATAAAAACAACATGATGTACTCTACAGATTTTAATTCAGCAAACCGGGTGAGTATAAATGGACAGGGCATCATCAGGTGAAAAAACTGTAGAAGAAAAACACTTTTATGCTCATCCTTCAAAGAGAAGGTTTGGGAATGTATCTGAGTCTGATTAATGGCGGAGGTGGCAAGATTTTTGCTGCTAACAGGCAGGGTGTTATTTCTCAAAGGTGCCTTCTGGGCAAGCTCACCGGCTCTGCACATCGAGACACAACACAGAAACTACATGCACACAAGGGAAAAACTCCCATGAGGCCTGTCTGTGAGGGAGGGCTACCTGCAGCCACACTTTCTCTGCTGTTTATAAATGCTGTCGTGTTTGTGGTGTGTTTTCATGAACCACACACAATAATAAATAGCACCAGCACTTGTGATGATAAGCGCTGAATAAATTTAAGCCTTGAGGAGGAAAATCATTGTGTGAACTAAACGACTTCTGTTGCTGTTTAATACAAGAACACCCAAAAGCAATCATTTTAAATGATTTAAAAATGCTTTGTGTTGTTTAAACTTACAAATGGAAATCTCCTTAATTTTTTAAGTTCTTCCTGCTTTGCATTGTGTATTCTAACTTGTGAAGGTTTGAACCACATGCTCCAGAAAAACTGAGCCTCCAGAAAAACTGAGCAGCTTGTGTTAAACTGACTTGATTCCATCATATCTTCTCCACTATTTTTATTAATAACCAATAAATTAATTCATACAGAAATGAGAACTGACCTGTGAGTCATTTGAGGCTGTGGAACGTTCTGTAGGTGGCAGGCTGGAGGGAGGAATGCCAGGAACTGGTCTCTGGGTGGCAAAGGCAGGAGATGGGTGCACAAGGGGCGGACTGTGTCCAAACGCAGAACCTACGATGCCTGGTTGCCGACTGATCAGCTGCTGATGCATTTGCAGTGCCACAGGTGTTGGAGGATATGCAAAACTCAGTGCAGGGCTGTAAGGCAAAATAAATAGAATAATTAATTTTAAAATTAAATTAATAAATTAAGTTCATGTTACAAATTAGTGAAATTTGGGTCATGTGGTAAATTATAAACTCCTTCATTTATATAATATTTGTTATTGAATATTCATTCATTCATCATTTAATATTATTTATGATACACTACTGTTCAAAAGTTTGTGGTCAATAAGGTTTTTAACGAAATAAGTTTCTTATGTTCACCAAGGCTGCATTTATTTGATCAAAAATACAGTGAAAATACAGTAAAAACAATACTGCAAAATATTATTACAATTTAAAACAACTGTTTTCAATTTTAATCTATTTCAAAATGTAACATTTCTGTGATTACAAAGCTGAATTTTCAGCAGCCATTATTCCAGCCTTTGTGTCACATGATCCTTCAGAAATCATTCTCATATGAGTTGGTGCTCGAGAAACATTTCTTATCATTGCTAAAGTTGAAAACAGTTGTGCTGCTTCATATTTTTGTGTGTGTTTTTTTTTTCAGGATTTTTTTGATATAGAGAAAGTTCAAAAGAACAGGATTTATTTGAAAGAGATTTTTGTAACAATGTAAAAGTCTTTACTGCCACTTCTTATCAATTTATTGTCTCTTCACTGAATTAAAGTATTATTTTCCTTAAAAAAGGTTTTACTGACCCCGGACTTTTGAAAGGTAGTGTATACAATGCAATAATATTTTATAACACAAAATAATTAAAAAAATATTAACAATACAATTATTTTAATAATAAAAACCATTTTTATTACAGTCCAAAAATTACACATAGAATGTATTAAACTGATAATCTTAATAAATAAAACAACAACAACAACAAACATAAACCCTTTTAAGAAAAAGTCCAAGATAGTTCATATAAAATGATGAATCACCTGATGAGCATAAAAGCTGTATTTAAGCACAGTATTGAACTTTTATATATCACCTCCTCGATAGATGCCACAGTCCTTTAATGATAAAGCCTTGATGCTCAATAACAGACATTCATAGGGGGTTCCATTCATCGTGGGGCATGCTGACCACTCCATACGAACTCATACGTCTACTAGCCCTATTACAGGCAGAGAGGAAATCAATGTAGCCAGACGCTGCGTGGCTGATGCAGCCGTCTCATCACTCATCAGGCCTGGACCCTTGCCTGCCACCTCTGTCCCCACATGTTCACATGAGATATGACTGATTAGCTTGCGAAAACCAATCACTGATTAATCTCTCTCAGTGGAGGAAAGAGGTCCATTTCTGTTGTCTTTTCTCTCTCTGAGACCCCCACTCAAACCAGGTAACGTTGTTTCCTAATAGTGCTGGATGGCAGATGTCAAACTGAGTGACACATCACCAGGGACGATAGCTGTAGATCCATCCTTCAGTTTGATATAGAAACTGTTCAAATGAAACCATTTCTGATTTTCTTACATGCAGCAAAATCTGTAACAATCTATTGTTCAAAATCTGATGTAGTACTTATGGGACATTACACTTTTGATAATGTATTAAACAATACAACATATGTTAAAAAAAATAAAAAAAATAAATAAATCAATTAAATTGTGATAATTTGTTTATGTGATTTTTTTTTTTTAAGTCTGAGGAAATACAATTTCAGAAAGCATGTCTCATTTCACATACACCATCATTCAAAGGTTTGGGATCAGTAGATTTTGTTTTTGATTTTGAAAGAAACTTTGGTCCCACTTTATATTAGGTGGCCTTAACTACTATGTACTTACATTTAAATTAATCATTTGGCACAATGCACTTATTGTGTACATACATGTTTTTACATTGTACTTATATTTTTAAAAATACCTATATGTAATTACATCTGTAATTATTTTATGTAATTACATTTATAATTACACTGTTGACCCATCCCTTACACCTTAACCCACCCTTAAACCTACCCATACCATCAAACCTGTCCCTAACCTTACCCGTATCCAACCTCAATAGCAGCAAAAGTGTTTTGCAATACAATATGAACACAATAAGTACATTGTACTTATTTTTTGATATAAGTACATAGTAGTTAAGGCCACCTAATATAAAGTGTGACCAAAACTTTTTTTCAGCAATGCATTACATTGACAAAAAGTGAGAGTAAAGACATTTATGTTACAAAATATTTCCATTTCAAATAAATGCGGTTCTTTTAAATGTTCCATTTATCAAAGAATCAAGACAAATGTGCACAGAAATCTCTCACTGATAATAATAAGAAATGTTTCCTGAGCAGCATATCAGCATTTTAGAAAGATTTCTGAAGGATCACTTACACTGACAACTGGAGTTATGACTGCTGAAAATTCAGCTTTGCCATCATAGAAATATACAGTATATATAATTTTAATCTATTTAAAATAGATACAAATATAAAAGTTATTTTAAAAATTTCACATTATTACCATTTTTACTGTATTTTTGATTAAATAAATGTAAATACATTCAAAAATCTTACAGACCCCAAACGTTTTAACAACAGTGTCTGTCTATACAAATTTGTAGCAGTGCAAGTAGTGTGCCAAAAAAAAAAAAAAAAAAACTCATTGAGAGCACTATGGCAACTCAGATGATGTACTTATTTCAAGAAGAAATGTAAGCTTACTATTTTTGACAAAGAGTAGTAAGTAAATCACAATATGGCAGTGTCTTGTGACTGGGACAAATTTAGATATGCCAAATTAAAAGAGTATTGATAAAGCTTCAATCCATTTTGTTGATCAGTATCTGAATATTGAACAGCCTCCTTAAATAAGGCTTATTGTTGTGACAAATGCTTTATTATCCACTTAATGTCTGTCTGGACTCCTACTATGAACTGACCAAATCGACAGTGCCCCATATAAGTGGGATCATTTGAAAAACATTAATTATTTAGTCTTTGAAACAGATAAACATGTGATTAGAAGGCAGGAAGGTCAGCGAACACCCTCAGGTTGAACTGCTCATGAATTACACCTCAGAGAAAGTGAATGGGTCAGTTTTATTCACTTCATCCACAACAGATTCTCTCTCTTTCCCATTACAGCTTGTGTTACTGTCCTCAGCCCAGAATTTGCTTTCTTCCTCCGTCCCCCTCTTCATGACCCTTTCATTCGTCATTCCCCATTCCTCTCCTCCTTTCCAGTGTGAGCGATTGCATGGCGGCAGTCTTAGGGTAAAGCTCTTCTCAGCTGATAGAGAGAACATTAATCAGATGATGCATATCAGACAGATGAGTGTGAGGGAGGAGGGGAGGAATATGTTCACACGCTTCCTCCTAATAGCGCTCTCTGTGTTCTCTCGTTTATTTCGCCGTCCAGTGTTCATTCATCACTCCGCTTCTGAGGATGCCCTGGAGTGTCCACTTACAGTATGGATTGCTTTTCCTCTCTATCTCTTTCTCAGAATCTCTCCCACATTCTCTTGCCTCTTGTCTGTTCCAATACACACCTCTCTCTTTATTTTCATACTTGGAACAGTGTCCAAGTTTGGAATGACATGAAGATGAATAAATGAAGAATTTTGGGTAAACTATACTTTAAAACCCATCAAGTGAGAAATTAAGACTTGCTTATCTCATGTAAGACAAAAACTAAAAAATTCCCTTGATATATTAACAAAAATATATTTTTAATTAAAATAATGCAAAATCCAGCTTTAAGGCCTGTTAGAAAGAAGTATATACATTTTTGTAAAATAAAAAAAATTAAATAAAAAAAAATTCTTAATTCATTGTAGTACATACCTGATAGTACCAGCTGAGAGGTGTCCATAGGATCCACTGGTGGATGAGCTGGAGCGGGAATTATTAAGTATAGTGACTAGAGAGTTGGGCGAGGTGCGAATCATGGCCTGCAGGTCAAAACTGGGGTCAGACAGGGAAGGGGAGCTGGGAAGGGGTCGTTTTCTGCTGGGTCGATTTGTGAGCCTAGGACTTGGAAATCGTGAAGCTGAGAAGACACAGACAGAGAGAGAAAACAGAGAAAGAACATAGTATGTTATGTATTTAAAACTGGTGATATAACAACAGGCACAAAAAGACAAAATCATCATTTTTATTTATTTTTATATTTTACTTATTTTCATTTAAATTTTAATTCAAATTTATCAGTTTTTTTATTTAATTGAAATTAATTTAATAATTTAATTTAATAGTGTTTTTTAAAGAAATTTTTATTTAAAGAGCGGTAGAGAGAGAAATGGAGAGTACTACAGTCAAGTACTGACATCATTTCCATAAAAGTTCCCATTCTCTTGTGGTTCGTATATTGTTTTAGAGAATTAACCACACAGAAAGCTTTACTGACCAGGAATCATGACCATCTTCTTAATCACATGCAATTTCTTTATCATAGTCTGTTGGATGCATTCAACAATGACCACATTTTCTGCATTGCATGCATTTTTTTACGCATTGTAAAAACACAGGACTGCAGCTCCACTTTTCTCACTGCTTTCTGGTAGCGTCACTGCGATGTTGAATCACGCTTAATTGGGTTGAATAGTGTGTTAATGCTGAATGGAATTGCACTGGGTTGTTTTTGAAAAGCTTTCACTAGAATGCAGATCGAACGCAGACAGGCCCTCCACTCACGCACAATGACTGGCACCTACAGATTAAGAAATGACTTTTGTTGTCTTTTCATTGGCGAATGTCACAAATAAGAAAGAAGGGAGAAATGGAGTGATAAGTGAAAGGAGGAGGGGAAGAGAGGGGTGTGGGGGGGTGTTGGTCTTTTGTTGTGTGGAGTGACACAATGACTTTGTGACTCATTTTTTCTTTCAGTTGTTCTGTACATTTTTAAGAGAAAGCATGCAAAACAAAACAAGATTACACTCACTCTTTCTCTCTCTCTGACTCTCTTCCCTCTCTCTTTCTTGTTTGACACATACAGTGATTACAGGGTCTGTCATTCACATTTAAATCACTCTGTGTGTGTGTGTTTGTATTCCCACATTTGGAACATCTTACCACATTGCTGGCATTTTGCTTAGAACTGTGATTTAAGACTTTGTAAATAGACACAAGCACAAACTTACACACACACACACACACACATGAATCCACATACTTAAGTACCAATACTATACACATTATAATACACACTCATATACAATAATATGTGCGGTCTGTAAGGCCATATTGATTTTCCTGCTGCAAAGACCAGTTTGGATCAGCATAAACTCCAAGATGGTCGTAACTAGTTTTAAATGAACAATTCTGGTCTATTTATGACATGAGCTGGTTAAGCTGGTAGAACAACAAATGCAAAAATATGTTTTAAACTGGAAATTTAAGCTTGTATGAACAAGCTTAGTGTTCCAGTTTTTAACTAACTTAACTTGTTTTACATTGGCAATGCTGGTTTAATTTTGACGAAAGTTTTTTATTAGGTAAAACAGCCTGACTAGCATAAGCATGACAGGCAAAACAAGTATGAAATTGGCCAAAACATACAATTTACTGGTCAATAAAATGCAAAAATAAATAAATAAATATATAGGTTATGTAAGATTATCACTAGCTAGATCAAGGTTTTGGCAGGCTTTGATATATTAGATTAGCAGTACTGGTACAGTATATTATTAAGCAAGTTTAAAAGTTTGACTGTTGTAACTATGATAGGTAAACAAAAGCCAAAACCAGTATGAAAGTACACAATACACCTTACACTGGTCAATAAGATGAGAAAAAAATGTCATACAGTTAACCATCTCATGCAGATCCCAGTGCTAATTTATTAGTGGCACGAGTTGATTAAGCTTGTTAAAACAGTTTGACTAGTTCAGTGGTTCTCACTGGTTGAATATTTTTGTGGACAATAAGGGGCCTTGGAGCTATTAATGTTGAGAACCGCTGGACTAGTTTTTTACCATTATGGGTGTTCAAAGTGTTCAAAACATACCAATAACTGAACAATTGCTGATTTTTAGTACAAGTAAATATTACATGCGTGGTCAAATATCTTTTGTCAAAAATGTAAATGTAAATGTGGATGTAGAAAAAAAAAGTATGGAAAAACAAACAAACAAACAAAAACGCCACTCCCCGTGCATACGGGTATAAATAGGCGACATGTGCATTCACTCATCAAATTTTACGCTGAGGACCCCAGAACTCGTCCCTGGCAACCAGCGACGGTTTGAGGTTGTGGCATGGGGACATAATGTCTCCATTCCCTCCATCAGGGAACGAGGGTTACGTACATAACCAAGACGTTCCCTATCTGTCAGTCACGAAGAGTTATGTCATGATGACATATGGGGTCTATGGAAAGCGACACAACCTGAACCCTGTCACAACCCTATGGCTTTGCAAGTGTTGACAAGCCGCAGCGTGTCATACAGGTGCTACGCAAAGGTCGTAGCCTTCCCAATGCCCCAGCGCAAATTCGCTGACCTTGGTGCCCGAAGGGACCAAAAGGTAAGTACATCACTGCTGGAGATAGCCATGCCGCTGTTCCTACCACAGAGAATCATTTCTTAAGAGAAGGGATTTCGACCTTCGTGAAAGGTGCTTCATGCCTTTCCTGTTTGCTGTTTACAGCTTGGCAATAACGATGGGGAAGCGAGTCTTCCAGAGAAGGGCGCTACAGAGGCCACATCCTACCCGTAGGGAGTTACCATGTGGAGACACTAATATGGACTGACCCAGGCCTAGGGGGCAGTACTACATATGGAATGGGACTCTAAAGCAGGTCCTAACTGAGAGTAGGGAGGAACCACTGCTAGCAGAGCCTGACAGAAAGGTCTGTCAAAGGGTAAGACATGGGTTCACCGAGAGGGAAACCTTACCGTGGAAGCATACACGTATGGGATCGCCCGCAGGGAATCAAGTCATATGGACACCTAGCCCAGTACAGGGGCTGACCGGAGACACAGGCAAGCTAACACAGATACTGGGTCTGGCGTCAGACTGCTCTGCCGAGTCTGACTGCCAGGGGTGCTGGAGGATGCTCAATCAGGGTTCGCCGTCCGGGGAACTTGACTGGGAGAGAAAAGCACTCGCATCCCCATGTGAGGGGGAATGGTGCAGCAAGCGTGACACTGGCCTTCCTGCCAATTACCTATTACCCAACACACGGGAAGAAACCGGCTCGACGCGGAGGCTGTAGAATCTTGCGAAGGTGTTCGTGTCGCCCAGCCTGCAGCTCTACAGATGTCTGCCAACCTCTGCTTGGAGACAACCTCCCCTTTCTGCTGACCTCTGTACCAGACAAAGAGCTGCTCGGGGATATTAAAACTCCGGGTGCGGTCCACGCATATGCGAAACGCTCTTATGGGACACAGCAACGCTAGGGCTGGGTCTGCCTCCTCCAGGGGCAGTGCTTGCAAGTTCATCACCTGATCGTGGAAAGGCGTGGTCGGAGCCTTGGGCACGTGTCCTGGCCAGGGTCTCAGGACAACGTGAGAGTAAGCCGGCCCGAACACAAGGCACTCTTCGCTTACCGAAAATGCTTGGAGGTCCCCGACCCTCTTGAT